CTGTCTATTGTTTGGCTGGAAGCCACAGGTGTGCGTTCATTTCCAGACCTGAAGGGCAGCTAGGGGCCATAGTCTCAGTGGTTCCACCAGGCTCCCTCAGGCCAGCAAACCTGTTCCCTGCTTTTTTTTTCCTCCCAAATGATTTTGAGTTTTGTTCCACATTGTTCCCCCTGTCTATCCAGGAGCTCCTACAAAGATCCTCCTCCAAGTGGTTGACAGCAGTAGCCGAGCACCATCTATTTCTTCTGATCTCATAGTCGTATAGGCTGCAGACTGGATGGTGTACCGTCACTAGGACTAGTTGTTTCCATGAATTTTTGGTTTTCTTCATTATTCTTTACTCTGGATGAGGAGAGACCCATCGTTGCATCTAGATGGCAGCTTGCAAGTTTTTAAGATCTCAGTCACTACTCACCACAGTAGGAGGTGGAACAATGTTTTGTGTAGTATGTTATGCCAGTTGAGCTTGATGTCCTCTGTGACTATGGGCCCGAGCCTACTCGGTCCCTCTGGGTAGCTGGCTGTGACCAAGCAGTGACTACAATCTTGCCCCTTGTCAGCCCCATTATAGACCTGGGAATTCAGATTATACACAGAAAGTTACTGGACCACTTTCTGCCAACCCTATACAAGTTCTTGGGTGCACTCTCCACGTCATATACATACCTAATATTTCAGCCTGTCCACCCATTTACCCTTGTTTTCCTTCCCTGACCACGCCATAATATGCGCAAAAGGGTTCATCTTTGTTGTCTGTACTTCCCACTTACCTCTCTATGTCTTTATCTTCCTCAGTGTCAATATATTGATCACTCACATTTGGTACATTGCCCTTTTCTTCACCCAAATCAACATGTATCTCTGTCTATCCAACAGTATTCCCTACCCTACCCTCCCACCCCTGGTAACCAACAAAGAAAATGGTCTTCCATAGATAAACGATTCCTTTGACTTTTACAATAATGGACTAATACCGTATTTGTCCTTTTGTGATTGACTTAGTTCACTCAGCATAATGTCCTCCAGGTTCATCCATGTTCTGTGGTGGTTTGCAGATTCTAGGTCTTTTAGTGTTGCATAGTATTCTATTGTGTGTATGTACCATAGTTTGG